GACGTTTTCACAAAGTTTGTGATAATCGAACCAGTGCGCGATGTTAAAACACGACATGCATTAAAATCCCTGACCGATAATGTACATTTATTTGGCGTTCCGACGCGTATAATTAGTGATCGGGGTACCGAATTTACCTCAGCCAGTTTTAACTCGTTTTGCAAAAACTATGCTATTAAACATGTTATAAACACCGTGGCTACTCCGAGAGCCAACGGTCAGTGCGAGCGTTATAATCAAACGGTTGTTAACGAGTTAGCCGCGGCGGCGGCCGGTAAAAATCTCGCGAGTGGGACAAGTACTTTAAACCAATTCAAAGTGTCTCACAATAAAGGAAGTAATGCAACCCCGATGGAGGCGCTTATTGTTTGCTACATCAGTTCGAGACAAAATTGCGCAGCACATAACCGCAGATCAAAGACGGCAGAAGGAACGCTACGACAAGGGTCGTCGCGACGCTGTTCAGTATGAAGTAGGGGATCTCGTCATGGTCACCATCACCAGTGAAGCCACCGCTAGTGAAAGCCCCGTTATGAAGTCGAGGACTTGCGCGAAGGGCGCAAGCGGACAAAGTCGGTGGCCGCAGCGGATCACCTTAAGAGGTGGAACAGTTTTAAGGCGACGATATGTAGGTACATAATATATATTATATATGTTATATATATATATGTTATATATATATATGTTATATTATGTTATGTTATGCTATGTTATGCAATGTTATGCTATGCTATGTTATATGTTATATTAGATTATAAGTATAAGTACATATAAGTAGATAGCAAGACCCAGAGGGGTCGGTTTGACAAAGTGTCACAGTAAAGTAGGATCCTGAAGGATCAAAGTAAATACCAATGTGGTATGATGAAGAAGGGGGGACGCAGTGCACGCGTCTTTCCTTACGAAATATGTGGGACACGGCCAAAGTGGCGTCTTACGAGGGGGAACAGATTGAATATTTTGTTCCCGAGGTTGCGCGCAAGTGATACCAAGTACGACCAAAGTGGTCTGTTTAAGCAAAGTAAGACCAAAGCAAAACCGAAGCAAGACAGGTTGTATGTTTTATGGAGGAGTGATACGACAGCTCCCTCCATTTTGACTATTAAGTAAGGCTAATAGAGAATTCTCATCTTAGGTCCATTGGAAGTATAATTTCATCCAAATGACGGAGTCCTGCAACCAAGAGGGTACCAGCCTCAAACAATCCTGCCAGAGAAGGTCAGGGACTGACTTAGTCAGGATGGCCGAATGTTAGATAATTATTAGATTTAAGTATACATTTAAATTAACACTAGCACCCTTGGTGCACCGCATGCGATTCGTAAGTAAAGAACCATGTCAAACGTCACATAAATTGTCTTTGTATATAATATTTCTTTGAGAGGCCAACACACTAAGGGGTTTCGGCATATTTTCGTGAGAACTGAATGTATTAGAGTTAGTTTGTAGTCAGGTTTCTTGTTGAACACTCGTGTATAATAATTAGTAAATTACTTAATCAACTATCCGTGTTTAATAAAATACATCTCTAACAGATTCAAGGGAAAATTTTACATAAGAAATGGCTGTTAAATTTTGGAATACCATGGTATTCCATGGTTAACCATGATACAAGTGAAAAAGCAGCACTAATAACTATTAAATTAGCCATTTTTGACTAATTTATTTTTAGAGAGCAGATAGCGAAATGCATGCAGCGACTACGCACAGTGTAGGCAAGCGTGCGGTTCGATGCGAGCACTGATCCCTGCATAAGTGTCCGCACGTGCAGAGCATACCACTCGCACCCTGTGGCCATCACCGTGACTGTTCACCTATGCACCCTCAAGCGTGCCACCATAACCCTTGCGACTCAAGTTTAACAGATCTTTTTATTTGCATTTATAACTCGAAATCACTTTTTTACCCAAGGGAGGTAAGAAGCTAAATTACCTCCCGTCGTCAATAGCAACCAGGATTTCCCGTGTAAAGTCAACTTGTCAGTCAGAGTATCCAGTGGTTAATTTTTAGTTCTAGATAGTTCTGTTAATTTGTACTAGATGTAAAATTTCGTACTGGATTATAAAATTTCGTTAAATAACGATATTAATAACAATAACAATATTGTGACCGAAGGTATGATTTACAGGCAGTCTGTTTAATGTTCTGCCTTCCAAAATTATTCTTAACACAAACTGGATCAGAAAAATAGTTTGTAGTAGAGGTTGTAACAGTGCAAGCCCTACATATTTTTTTGACGGGGGATATTTGGAAAACGCACTAGATTTTGATGAGGTGTGTAGAAGCAGATAAAAACATTTTATTACACACGACGATAAATAGCTATATAAATAGTATTTACATACCTACCATGGGAGGAAAATAGTGCTTTTCCTCCCGCGAATAGTTTGATCCCCGACGCGAAGCGAAGGGCATTAAATATTCAAGGGAGGAAACGCATTTTCCTCCTGAGGTATGTATATAGTTTTTTCTAATACCTTTTAACGGTTTTAAGACATTTTAAGCGTTCCGGTTCCTTTTACTAACCCGGTATGGGGCTATAAAATTATGACAAAATATTAAGTAGGTGTTGCGTCGCCGACGTTATGTTGACAACGCTTTGTTCCTATGGTATTTTTGGTAATACAAACATAACAGTTGTTATAAGCTGTCAGAATGTTTATCATAAATTTGAAATTTTTCCTACGTTTTGAAAATGAGTTCTAGCGAAGAAGACCTGCCGCAAGATCTTGCTGAAGAGGCAAGAATAGTTAGCAATTAATTTCCTTCCTTTAAAATCGAAAGAGCGATATGAAAATGAAGTTTGTTCAAAGAATGATTGGACAAGCGCGGAGTAAATCTTTTTCCTACAAAATCAAATAGGGCTAGACAAGGTACAAAAACTCTTGCTAAAGTAAAATTGTTAAAAAAAAGAGGCATTGTCCTGCCTCGCTCGGGGGTGAAAAATTAAGTTTTCCAGTAAGGTACCTAGTAGAAAAAATCCATTTTCGTCTCCAAAATTAATTCACTCGCGTGAATTAATATTTTTCTGTCCACTATAAATATTATATTGTTCGACTAGTGGGTAACACGCGAGTGGAATCTCCTCTTTTGACCAATAGTCGCAACAATATTTTATTTAACAACCACAAGGAATTTAAAGCCAATTTATTTAATATTTCTTGTATAATAAATAACTATGTATATATAATAAATAATATGTATATACAGGGTGTTCCAACGAAAACTTGTACCCCCCCAAACGTTTTATCGGATGAGTGTGGACAAAATTCCTTGGACACGTCAATTTTTATTTTTAGGGCGACAAATTTTGATGTATGTTTCACGCCCCCACCCGCACCCCTACACGCTCCACCCCGCCCGCCCCCTAAATTTTAAATTGTAAGGGGGGTTGAGTGATATATCATTTTAAAGGTCTTTTAATTCTTAATAAGGTTCTGTAATTGTTTTTAAATCTGTTGGTTAGTTTTGGAGAAATTGCTATTTGAAGTTTTAAATTTGGTAAAAAAAATAAAACAAAAAAACTGTAAATCAACGAATGTATTGTTCAAAGTGATTTCCTCCAACCTCCATGCAATAGTACAGACGTTGATTAAAATTATTTCTAACATTTTGAAATACGTCTGGCGTTAATAACCGGCATTCTCTAATAATTCTTTCCCTCAATTCCTGAAGAGTCTCTGGTGGAGTGGCATAAACTTTTGATTTCAAATGTCCCCACAAAAAAAATCTAACGGTGTTAGATCAGGAGATCTAGGCGGCCACTCTATAGGACCACTTCTTTACAGAACCTTATTAAGAATTAAAAGACCTTTAAAATGATATATCACTCAACCCCCCTTACAATTTAAAATTTAGGGGGCGGGCGGGGTGGAGCGTGTAGGGGTGCGGGTGGGGGCGTGAAACATACATCAAAATTCGTCCCCCTAAAAATAAAAATTGACGTGTCCAAGGAATTTTGTCCACACTCATCCGATAAAACGTTTGGGGGGGTTCAAGTTTTCGTTGGAACACCCTGTATATATAACTATAGTTACATAACTAGGTACTTGTGTATCTAAAAAGGGCCCGTTTAATATGAATATGAATCCGGATTACACATTACATAATATTATAAATCCGGATTTTCATTTTTTTTAATGAAAAATGTTGATTAATGTTTTTATATTTCTTTATTTTTTTCAATCAATAAAATTAAAATGAGCAAAATGCATTGCTATATTCAATAAATACACAATTAGGATCGAAAATACAAAAATATGTGCTGGTCTTGAAGCTTGGGTAATGAATATAGCGGCAGTCAACGTGTTAAATGCATTTCTCTTGAAACCCGTTGCTGTTACGTTGTTTAAATACAAGTACCTTTTATGTAAAAAATTGCTTAAAAAATTATATTTTAACCAAATTGGACTAAACATTTAAACAGTAAAAAGTACCCATCCTAATTATACGCCTTTATACATTTGTTATGTCAAGAAATAGTATCTGATATTTGCCCTTTTAACAAATATTAGTTGTTCCCTTTGGGAGGCTATAACTTGCTGGGAAGGGTTTTTGCATCAATGTTCATAGAAACATGTTTTCATATTGGTAGTAGAAAACGGTTCTGAATTTTCTCTACTTACTTTATATTATTATGCAAATTCATCCATTAATTTTTTTTTTGTATGAGCCGCGGGAAATAAAACAGTTTAAGTTAATTTAAAAAATATTAAAATACTTACTATCAATAAACTTCGATTAACGATAATACTTATTGTCCATCTTCCAGGATTCATAACAACCGGCGATGGTGTATTACCAGTCTCCCCTGAAACTGTCACAAACGATGGTTTCAATGTACTTTTAAATTGTACACTTAACCACTGTTCAATATCATTGGGATTATCTGGAGTTATTTTAACATTTCCAATCACAGTGTGGGGGTTTGGATTAACAAATCGCATTACTATTGAATACAATGATGGCTTGTATAGATTAATATTTTGTCGAACCTCTTTCTAAAATATACGGGATAAAAACAAATCTAATATTTTTAATGGCTTTACCTGTAGTTCTGAAAATACGGCATAACCTTTCCAGGAATAGTTTGCAAAAATATTATCATTATGGGCATAACGCACTTTATTATTTTCAGGTGTATATCCGTCCTCAACTTCATATTGATATTGATATAATGTTGGAAAATAATGAGCCTGAAGTGGTTCCTTACAAGTTCGGCCTGTTACTCGAGGTTGGCATACACAATTACCTGTAGTCTTGTCGCATCTATTATTTATGGAACCGCCGACATCACATTCACAATCTACAATATATAATAAATAATTTTAATGTTTTGACAGTGTTGTAGTTACTTTTTACGTTAAGAAAGATACTCTCAACGGTAATAAAAAAACCAGTATGTATGCAAATGCGCCTAACTTTAAGGTTACAATACACAATTATTGTGTAGCATTGGGGACACATTTGTCACCTGCACACAATGCAGCTGGAGTGCACATTTGAATTATTAAAAAGATTAATGAAATGTTAACAAAAATTACATGAACTACATTTATTTATTGTACAAACAGTTTTTCGCTTACAATTAATAACAATTATCAAACAAACTAAGAAATAATTTAAAGAAATAAGAAAAGCTTTAATCATCTTCTTCGAAATTATTGTTATCACCATTATTGAAATCAAAATTGTCTAATAACTTTTAGCGACTGCTTTGGTGCGGGTAGTTGTGTGCAAATTGATCGACAGCGAGGTATTTACAAACTTAACTTTATTACACTACATATATACACAATATACAATACAATACACATATATACACAAACAGAATTATAATTTAAATGTGTTGTCACCCGGAGCCTATAAATATGTATACATATACATGTATACTAGGGTGTGCCAAAAAACCTCGATATATTTTTTTTCTTGCTCTCAACCCAAAATATCGTAGAATATGTCCGAACAAATATTCTGTTAAAAGCGGAGCTCATAATTTCAATTTTAAGAGGTCCTCCATCGAATCTGAAGTTTTGCCGCTTAAATAACACAGAAAACTGACTTTTTTACCTTATTTATTCTTGCAACCTAGGAAGAAATTTTTTTTTCATAAAATCCATGACTAATTCTTACAAAGCATTAAATTTGGACAAAAAAATCTTATTAAGCTGAATTTCTATTTTCAATATTTGATTTTTTACAGAGCTTTAAATTTAAAGTTAATAATACAAAAATGATGACTTTATACGCCTGTAACTTTAAGAATATTGACGATACAAAAAATTTGCCTAAAACTTTTTTGTGGTCCATCAGACAAGCTAAAAAATTGCCATTTGACTTTTTCATCTAACTTAAATAGTTTAGCTGAAAAAGGCAAAAAACGTAAAATTTTAAATTTAAAGCTCTGTAAAAAATCAAATAATGAAAATAGAAATTCGGCTTAATTCCTAGGTTGCAAGAATAAATAAGGTAAAAAAGTCAGTTTTCTATGTTATTTAAGCGGCAAAACTTCAGATTCGATGGAGGACCTCTTAAAATTGAAATTATGAGCTCCGCTTTTAACAGAATATTTGTTCGGACATATTCTACGATATTTTGGGTGGAGAGCAAGAAAAAAAATATATCGAGGTTTTTTGGCACACCCTAATGTATACATATACCTATAATTAGTATTAGTTATAGGTATATGCATGTATATAATCACTATCTCGCCTTGTTGAATAAAAAAAATAATATGAATATTGCAATATGCAAAAAAACAACTAACCATCCTACATTGAGGTAAAAAGTATCTGCTTAAATAAAAAATGTTATTAGATAATATTTTAGTTTTTGTCTTACAGTCTACCGTAGGAATTGTAAAATCAATGACCTCTTAACATAGAACCCATTATATTAAAAGAATATCCTACTTAATTTAAGACTTATACTACTTAAATATTTACCAGCTTACTTGTATTTTATTAACTGGTTGACAAAGCGAAAACTTACCTACACAACCAAATAAATTATCTTCTGTTAAATGATAGGTACCATCTATACACATGGCACAATCTCTTGTTATAACTGAGGGTTTACATATACATTGTCCAGCATTTGAGTCACAAATAGCTATTCCACCTAATACGCCATCAACGTTGCAATTACATTCTTGACATCCCTCGTGGTTGTGGGGGCTTAAATTCCAATACAGTGGTTTGCATTTATTGCAGATACGGCCTTCTACACGGTTTTTGCATTGACATAATTCTCCAGGGGCTACTGATCCGCATCCGGCAAAACCTGTTACTACTCCGGCAGGATGACAATTACAGTCTAAAATACGATCATAAGTATAATATAATAAAAAATATGTTAAGACTAAAACTAGATTTACCTTCACATACTGGGTAATTATAAAATCCATCTTTGCAAGTATTACATTGTTGGCCCGAAAAATTCTCTAGACACTCACATATTCCTTCACCATTACATGATATTCCATTTGAACCATAGGTATCACAATTACAAGCTAAAAATATGTTTTATAATAAATACCTTTTTAAACAGGGTGTTTGGTAGGTCGATGCAAACCTGATTAAATAGGCGATTTAAAACCTAATACTTTAAATTGACCTCGTTTAACGTGTATGTCATAGAAAAAATTGCTTGTATGGGAAGAGCATCAAAGTTGGTTGCAGTAATGCAGCGTTTCTTAAAGCACACCTAACAGGCGTTTTCCCCAGGGCTCCGCGAATAAAGCGAAGGGTCTCCGCGAGGGACTCTGGGTAGTGTAACCATAAATACAAAACAATATCATTTGTCACAATAAAAATAAAAAATCCTGTTTTAATATTTTAATTTAACCCCTACCTACTTTTATTTTTAAACTAAATAACATTATGGACTTGGTCATATTGAATTCGACTTTATATTCAACAAAGTTTAAGAAACGCTGCAATAATGAATTAAAGGAAAAAAGTCGAAAAGAGAAGTATTAGAAGTGTTAACTGTCGTAATAAAAGATATTTAGCTTAAAATCAAGTTTTTATAGTACATACAAAAATTCTTATTTTGAATGTTTGGCAGGTAAATGAGAAAACTTCTTAATAATATAAAATTTATTAACATAAATTTATGTTAAAAATAAACAAAAATGCCTATAGTAAACGCTGTGGCTCCCGTCCCGAGGCGGGAGTTAAGTTCAGTCCCGATTGACGTCATAATTTTAAGATTTGTTATGTTACAATAAAACTAAAACAAACCAACCAACCCAACACTTTTTAACAAAGAAACAATAAATTTATAAAATAAAAAAATAAAAAAAGTTTGACAACTTCTAGTAGAATCGAACCCGGTACCTCTCAACCATAACATAACATAACATTTACAGTGTGTGACGTCTGTCGGGATCGAAGTTAAGTCCCGCCTCGGGACGGGAGCCACATCGTATAGTAAATGCCGAGAGATTTTAAAACAGGTCTAGAAAATAAGGGCATGTATATAGGTATAGGCTCAAAGACCGGAAACGCTCATTAAGCCAAAAAAAACACGTTGGCATCCTGGCGACAACGCGTTGTGGTAATTAAGAAAAGCCATAACGCCTTTTGCACGTTAGTCTGATTTTATCCGCAAACAACTACTTTAATCCGCAAACGTCTGCTTTATCCGATTTCACCTGCAAACATCTGCTTTTATACGTGAAGATCTACTTTCATCTGCGAACATCTATTTTAATCCACAAACATCTGTTTTAATCCGAAAACATCTCATTTAGTCCTCAAAAGTCTGATTCATAAGATTTCACCTGCAAACATCTGCTTTTATCCGCAAACATCTGCTTTTATCCGCAAACATCTGTTTTAATCTCCAAAAATCTGATTTTATCCGCAAACATCTATTTTAATCTGCAAATATCTGCATTTATCCGCAAACATCTGATTTTATCTGCAAACATCTGATGTTATCCGCAAACATCTGCATTTATCCGTAAACATCTGGTTTTATCCGCGAACATCTGATTTTATCCGCAAACATCTGATTTTATCCGCAAACATCTGATTTTATACGCAAACATCTGATTTTATCCGCAAACATCTGCTTTTATCCGCAAACCTGATTTTATCCGCAAACATCTGATTTTATCCGAAAACATCTGCTTTTATCCGCAAACATCTGCTTTTATCCGCAAACATCTGATTTTATACGCAAACATCTGATTTTATACGCAAACATCTGATTTTATCCGCAAACATCTGCTTTTATCCGCAAACATCTGCTTTTATCCGCAAACATCTGCTTTTATCCGCAAACATCTGATTTTATCCACAAACAACTGATTTTATTCGCAAACATCTGATTTTATCCGCAAACATCTGCTTTTATCCGCAAACATCTGTTTTAATCTCCAAACATCTGCTTTTATCCGCAAACATCTGATTTTATACGCAAACATCTGATTTTATCCGCAAACATCTGCTTTTATCCGCAAACATCTGATTTTATCCACAAACATCTGTTTTAATCCGCAAACATCTGATTTTATACGCAAACACCTGCTTTTATCCGCAAACATCTGATTTTATCCGCAAACATCTGATTTTATCCGCAAACATCTGCATTTATCCGCAAATATCTGCTTTTATCCGCGAACATCTCCAAACATCTGCTTTTAATTGCAAATCTCTGCTTTCATCCGCGTTCGGTTTGCCTGCATTTCCTTTGTCCATTTCGGTCCTGTTTCGTACGCAAACGTCTGGTTTCATTCGCGCTTTTTGTTTTCCTTTTTCTCGTGTATACTTTAGTTTAGTTTATCTGCTTTGTCAAATTTTACTGAGCTTTCCGCGAACATTTGCAAACATCTGCTTTTAACTGCAAACCTCTGCTTTCATCCGCGTTCGGTTTGTCTGCATTTCCTTTGCCCATTTCGGCCCTGTTTCGTACGCAAACGTCTGGTTTCATTCGCGCTTTTTGTTTTCCTTTTTCTCGTGTATATATACTTTAAGGACATAAATAGATATTTTTTAATCATTAAGCTTACATTTAAATTAATTGTTAGAAAACATATATGTTTAATTTCAAATACATTTGGAATTATAACATCTTCAATTTGTATGGAATTTGTTTGAAAAACACTTTTTAATTTTGGCATAACCAATATTTTTAATATAAGAATTAATAGACTTATTATTTCTGTGGTACTCTTCACTATAGTATACCTGATTTTTAAATTTAAATCTGGTGAATATAATTAAATTATTTTCCCATTGAGAAAATGTCGTGTTGAATAAACTTATTTTCTTTACAGGTTGTTTTTATTAAAATAATTCTTTTTAGAGTTATAAAGTTGTGAGCCGTGAACGGCTAACAACCAGTTAGTTAAAGCTCAGTAAAATTTGACAAAGCAGGTAAACTTAACTAAAGTATACACGAGAAAAAGGAAAACAAAAAGCGCGAATGAAACCAGACGTTTGCGTACGAAACAGGACCGAAATGGATAAAGGAAATACAGGCAAACCGAACGCGGATGAATGCAGATGTTTGCGGATAAAATCAGATGTTTGCGGATAAAATCAGATGTTTGCGGATAAAAGCAGATGTTTGCGGATAAAAGCAGATGTTTGCGTATAAAATCAGATGTTTGCGGATAAAAGCAGATGTTTGCCGATAAAAGCAGATGTTTGCCGATAAAATCAGATGTTTGCGGATAAAAGCATATGTTTGCGGATAAAATCAGATGTTTGCGGATAAAAGCAGATGTTTGCAGATTAAAATAGATGTTTGCGGATAAAATCAGATGTTTGCGGATAAAAGCAGGTGTTTGCGGATAAAATCAGATGTTTGGAGATTAAAACAGATGTTTGCGGATAAAAGCAGATGTTTGGGGATGCGAATAAAATCAGTTGTTTGTGGATAAAATCAGATGTTTGCGGATAAAAGCAGATGTTTGCAGATAAAATCAGATGTTTGCGGATAAAGGCAGATGTTTGCGGGGGTGCACTAACCGGATGAAATAAGGCGTTCGGGTGAGTCCATATCAAATCAACCAAAAAAAGGTTACTTTTTTCCCTCACCATCTCCGATTTTGATAATTTTTATTACACTTAATCTACCCATCAAAAAACTCATAAACCCCAAATTTTAATTTTTTTTGACGAGTAGTTTTTGTTTTATTAATTTTTGAAAATCAAAAAATTGCCGATTTTGGTCTTGCAGGTACTTACAAAAATTGCTATATCTCGAAAACTACTCAAAATAAAAAATTGAATAATAGCTTGTTTTAAAGGTCTTTTATATACATTTTTTATGATATGTCACATGACCTATATTTTTTCAAAAAAAAAATGTAAATTTTGAAAAAAAAAAAAATTTTTTAAATCTCAAAAATACCTTTTTTTATTTTTTTCAAAAAAATATATATTTTTTGTGCACATTTTGTTAAGCTATGTACAAAATTTCAAGATGGACACTCAACGGGTTCATGGTGAAAAAAAAAATAAAGGAACTCACTAACATACAAAAAATTAATATTTATGGTCATTTCACTTCAAATAGTTGATTTTGATTTTGTACCTTTGATTTTTTCACTTTTGTTCAGCCGCACGGTGGGCTGGGATACAAATCTAACTGGAAAAAATTAATTACTCCCTCAAAAATTAGCAAAGCACTTTTAAAATATTTTTTATTTTTATTTAAGTTAATAATGCGGTTTGGTTCATGGTGAAAAAAATTAAAAAAACTCACTAACATACAAAAAAAGAGTTTTGTATTTGCAAGTACCTACATGTATACAATGTATACTATACATATTTTTTTCAACAAATATCCTGTTAAACATTCTAACTAAACATTTTCCTATTTAAAAAAATTTATTTTACTTATGTCAAAAGGTCATGGATTTGGAAGTTTAAACTAGAGGAAAAAAATTTCGTTAAAATTTTACTTTCTAAGATAGGAGTTATACTATGAATTTTTTGTGTTCCTTTAATTGTTTTAATATTTGAATATCTTTTTGATAAAATGTTTTCATGGGCTATATACTGGTCTTCGTTGCAGTATTTAAAATTAATGCCAGTAATGTTGTCTTGGCTCCAGTTAAAAAGCTGCAAAGGAGTCATAATCTGATCTTCATAAGGTCTCTGAAGACTTGCTCTGGCAGCAAGCCTCTTTACGGTGCCACCTAACCCGTCACATGCACTTTTGCCATGTGAAGTGGCAAAATAATGCCACTCTGCTTCAAGTCCAAAGTCTTTTTTATGTAATGCTAAATTGGTAAAGTTTTTTTTATTCTTATATTGAGCTGCACTTCCATCACTAAAGTAAAAAATTTTGAAAAGCTTGGGGATTTTATGTTTTAAATCAGGAATGAGGTGTGTCAAAAATAAATGAAATGCAACTGTGTTGTGTTTTAAACAGTTGGAAATGAATACATAGTTAAGATTTTGAAGAGTTTCCTCTTGTTTAAAATATATAACAAAAGGATGAATTGTTGCTTGGGCATTATTCCAATGATAGGACTGTACTTCGTCCTGCATGACAAAACTGTAATTTTCGGCAAAATCGCAGGTTATTAGTATCTCTCCTTGTTTAAGATGTTTTTTGATATCGTTGTAGTGTTCCTTTTGCATAAAGGCAATAAACGCGTGTGACTTCAACTTTAACAGTTCGTCGCTAAATTCTTCTAAAAAGTCATCGGTGTTTTTAACAATGGTTTCCATTGTGCACCTATCAACTGACACCCATTTTTTATATGTTATACTGTCGATAAGTTCTTCTTCAAATTTTTCTTCTAGAAAACCTTTAAGAGGGCCTATTCCAGGACATAGCTCACATTTATTTAAAAAACAGTCGACTGCCGGTGGATTACATATTATTTTGTAAAGAAAATCGCGATAATCCCTCCCTAAAGGTTTATTGTTATTGTCCAAAAATAAATTTAATTTTGACCCGCTGATCATCAACTTCATATTTTGGTGTAAAGTACACACACAAACTGTGTGGGTTCCGCTTCTTCCAGCTAGTATACAATTTTTTGGTCTAAGTTCACAAAATTTTGAAAATCCAATTTTTTCATCTGGATATTCCTTTTTAAACAACGCATAAACCTCACTTAAGTTGGCCAAAACTAATCTTTTTTGAATATGCTGCTTCTCCCCTTCTTTTTTAATGGCAACAAAATCTTTTTTTCCTGGCATTATCCGGCTTATGTCATCTTTTTGGTAAAATTCTACTATCTTTTGGGCCAAATTTTCATCAAGGACTTTTCCTGGTTTGGGGTTTGGGGTCACCAGAATTCCTTTTTCATTAACTATTTTTTTTACTTTACGGGCCATGTATTGCGATACACCAAATTCTTTTTGCATTTTAGCTCTTGTCCAACTCTGCGGCAGACAGGATAACACTAGAATTTTTTCACTTCTTTTGTTAGTTTTTGCAAACTTTTCTTTTAATTGTTTGATCATCTCACATTCATGTTCATAATTGCCCTCTTCTTGTGAACTTTGAGCTTGTTCTTTTAAAAATGTTGTTGAAATAATGTTTTTTACTTTTTTAACTTTTTCCTTTGACAACTTTTTCCTTTTAATTGGTGACACTCCTAGAAGTTCCAAAGATTCATTAAAAGAACTTAATGAATGTCTGTGCTGTATAAAATCTGTATTTTGTTCTTTCGTTAACGTTGATGGTCTAAAAGAAAAAAAACTTTTTATAAATTTTTTATTAATATCATCATAGAAAAAGTATATCATATAGGTATATCATTAGGTACTTTAGAGATAAAGTAATGTTTTAATTTAAAAAATAAATAGTAACTGTGGTTACTATTTATTTTTTAATTTAAATAGATTTTATCTACGCCAGTGAAATAAGAACTTCTTATCCCACTCATTTTGAGTGAGATAAGAAGTTCATTAACGCACGCGTTTTTCTCTGCTTTTAACCAATCAAATAAAAAAGTCAAAATGTCAAAATAACCCTAAATTAAGTCTTAGACAAAAATAATTACCGTTTATTTTTTCATTTAGAGGCGTAGATAAAAATTTGTACAATATACGTGTGATAACGCTTTATTAACGTACTTTTGCGATTGCCCAACTCGTGCTACGCACTCGTTGGGCAAATTTCGCATGCGTTCGTTAATAAAGCTCTTATCCCACTTATATCGTAAATAACTATTACTTACCCAGGTTGCACTTCAAAGGCCTTTAACTCTCTAGACACTTTTATCCTACAGTTATCACAAATTTTCATTTCCTTCTCAATTTTTTTAAAGTTTTTACACATCCATTCCGTTACAGTTCTTAAATTAGGGGAATGTTTTAATCTTAAATCCAAAGGATTACAACAATTACTCCAATTCCAATTACTTTGCTTCATTTTGTTAAAATAGGTTCAGTAAGCAAAAAAAAGATTTTTAGATTGTAACCAGTTAGTCAACAACTAAATTTGACATATGTCAAATTTATTTGTTGATTATTATGGCAACCATAGCAACTAAAGTCAAAGGCCACTTAATGTATGTTCTTATTTGTATAAAGTTTTAAATATAATATGAACATGACTTGTGGGTATCAAATTAGGGGTAATTTAACCTGAATTTAAAAAATGTTTATCAAATGATGAAAGATCATGGTGGGCTACAACAATGTATGTAGAGACCGTAGGGGAGAAATATATTTTTGCATTTAATTTAGATGTGTGCATGCACATTTTAATTTTTTTTAAGATTACAAGTGTCAATATTAAAATGTAATACATAGCTTATCACGATGTGCACAAAAATATATAACAAATATTTTTTATTTTTATTTAAGTTAACTATGCGGTTAATATGGCTTTGCTAATTTTTGAGGGAGTAACTAATTTTGTCCAGTTGGATTAGTATCCCAGCCCACCGTGCGGCTGCAAAAAAGTGAAAAAATCAAAGGTACAAAATCAAACTCATCAACTATTTGGAGTAAAATGACCCATAAATATTATTTTGTATGTTAGTGAGTTCCTTTATAATTTTTTTCACCATGAACCCGTTGAGTGTCCATCTTGAAATTTTGTACATAGCTTATCAAAATGTGCACAAAAAATATATATTTTTTTGAAAAAAATAAAAAAAGGTATTTTTGAGATATAAAAAAAAATTTTTTTTTTCGAAATTTAAATTTTTTTTTTTAAAGAAATTTAGGTCATGTGATATATCAAAAAAAAGGTATCTAATAGGCCTTTAAAATAAGCCATCACTCACCTTCCTACTTTTAATAGTTTACGAGATATCGCTATTTTTGTAAGTACTTGCAAGACCCAAATCGGTAATTTTTTGATTTTCAAAAATCAATAAAACAAAAACCACCTATCGAAAAAAATTCAAATTTGGGATTTTTGAGTTTTTTAGTGAGGTAAACAAATTTACCAAAAATTATCAAAATCGGAGATGGTGAGGGAAAAACCTTTGGTTGATTTGATATGGACTGACCCGTTCGCAGATAAAAGCATGTTTACGGGTGAAACCGTATAAAACCAGATGTTCGCGGATAAAATGAGATGTTTCGGATAAAAGCAAATGTTTGGGGATGAAAGCAGATGTTTGCGGATAAAAGCAGACGTTCGCGGATAAAATGAGATGTTTGCGGATAAAAGCAGATGTTCGCGGATAAAAGCAGATATTTGCGGATAAAATCAGATGTTTGCAGATAAAAGCAAATGTTTGGGGATGAAAGCAGATGTTTGCGGATAAAAGCAGATGTTTGCGGATAAAATGAGATGTTTGCGGATAAAAGCAGATGTTCGCGGATAAAATGAGATGTTCGCGGATAAAAGCAGATGTTCGCGGATAAAAGCAGATGTTTGCGGATAAAAGTAGATGTTTGTGGGTGATTGCAGATGTTCGCGGATAAAAGCAGATGTTCGCGGATGATTGCAGATGTTCGCAGATAAAATGAGATGTTCGCGGATGAAATCAGATGTTCGCGGGTGATTGCAGATGTTCGAGGATAAAAGCAGATGTTTGCGGGGGTGCACTAACCGGATGAAATCAGGCGTTCGCAGATAAAACCATGTTTGTGGGTGAAACCGTATGAAAGCAGATGTTTGCAGATAAAACTAGACGTTTGCGGATGAAAGCAGATGTTCGCGGGTGATTGCAGATGTTCGCGGATAAAAGCAGTTGTTCGCGGGTGACTGCAGATGTTCGCGAATGAAAGCAGATGTTGGCGGATAAAATCAGATGTTCGCGGGTAAAAGCATATGCTCGCAGATAAAACCAGACGTTTGCAGATAAAACCCGACAAAAATAGACGAAAAAAAATGCAAGTAATCGCGGATAAAAACAGACGTAAGCAGACGTTTGCAGATGATTCCGGACAAATTCAGATATATACGAAACACAGTGAAGACGGTTAAAAACAGATGATTGCAGATGATTGCGGGGGTGCACTAACCGGACATAAAACACAACCAACCGGGTGTTCGCGGATATAGCGATGCGGACAAAAGCAGATGTTATCAGATGATATTTTTACCCGCTTTTATCTGCGTTTATCCGGCTTCGACGAAGAATTTATACCCGCAATCATCTGCTTTTATCCGGTTTTGACGAAGAATTTATATCCGCAATCATCCGTCATTTTCAGCAGGGTGACAAAATTGCCGTTGGTAGCACTCTATTGCATCAGCTAACGTTCATAACGCGTTGTGGCTTTTCTTAATTACAACAATGCGTGGCTGTTTTTAAAAGTGCCACAATACTAACTTATTGTTGTGTTAAAAATGCCATGTTTTTTTTCCAATGAGAGTTTTTGGTCTTAATATATGTGTGATATATATATATATATATATATATATATATATATATATGATATATCTCATGGTGTATGTACCTTCGCATTCCGAAAAATTGAAATAACCAGGACTGCATTGATCACATGTTCTTCCAGCGTAGTTTCCTAAACAGGAACATTTTCCTGTAGCACTACAAGTAGTACCATGGGAACCAACTTTGCTGCAGTTGCAAGGTTTGCAGTCAGGATATCCGTAATATCCCAACGAACAAATATCGCATCTATCTCCGCTAAAACCTTTTTTACAAATGCATTGACCTGTTTGTTTGTCACAGATTCCATCTTTAGTTCCAATTATATCACAATTGCAATCTGTAAAAGTTTAAGATTAATCTATAGTTTGTGTATAAAAATAATTGTTACATGTGCAACTAGGGTAATTATAAAAACCATCTTTGCATTGATCACATTGTCTGCCTGAAAAGTTTATTTTACAAGTACAATTTCCCAATGTTGGTTCACAAATATTTGTTTCAGCTCCATTTAGATCACATTGACATTCTAAAACGAAAATAAAACAAATATAATATAATTAAAAGAGGGTAAAGAAGTAAAAATACGAGTTTTGAAAGTCTTACTTTCTCTTAAAAACTCTGAATAAGACTTATTAAGTCGGAAAAAGTCTGAATAAGTCTTATAAGACTATAGTAAGTCAGAATCTTAAGATTTTGGAGTCTTCTGGAAGAGTTAATAAGACTTAATAAGACTTTTTAGTAGAGAAAAGGTAGCGATAAAAATAAATATCCCGAATAATTCAGAAATGTTGCACTGAAAGAAATATATGTTTGTTTTAGCAAATGTATGTGGTTCATATATGGACTACCACATACATTGCTAAAACAAACATATATTATATTTAGTTTTAACATAATATGTTAAAACTAAATATAAAAATGGTTAAGGTAAATATATTTTATGTTTCATATATAGACTACCACATACATTGCTAAAACAAACATATATTTCTTTCAGTGTGTATTTGATTATTGTAAAATAAAACAAATATAAAAGTATTTATTAACATTTTTGCTGTTGTTATAAGCTAAGCTTATTGCATAATTATGTACTTATATAATAACATAAGTACTAATTATAACAATTATAATTTTTTTACAAACGATTCGCTTGACTTACTTTCATTATTGCAACCACTACTTTATATAATCTATGGTTGCCACGCAAATATTTACCTATATAACCATTGTTCCAGACAATTCTTCTTAAAGTTTAAGACTTAAACATATGTGTTCTATATAGACCACAAAACTAGTAGGTGGGGAGAACTCGCTTTAAATAGGATGCGCGTCAACCGCAGCGCGTGGAAAAATATGAGGCACCATACAACCAGCGACGCACGAGGCGCATGCGTATTAATCAAAACTTGTTGAGTTTACTGCCTAGACAAAACAAGGGTCTAGGGTTTACTGTTTACGTCTGACAAAAATTTTCACATTTAGTTTTGTTTTCTTGTATTTTGTGTGATTTTTTCGAGTTTAAAAACTGAATAAACACAAGTTGTGTACTTTGTTATTTAGTGCAAATTGTTTGTCGAACTTTATAATAGTTAATAGTTTGTCGAACGTTATAATAGATAAATATGAAGTGTTTAATTCCATTTTGTCCTAACAAGGGCAAAGTAGAAGGCATTAGGTATGTATCATAGGTAAGAATTATTATTATTATTATAAATAAATATTATTAATTAGTTTATTTTAGATTGGGTCCAAAAAGATATAGAGATTGGATGGTTATACTAAAAAGATCTCCTTGCCTTCAATTGATGAGATAAATATTTCCAGAAAATACAACCTGGATACAACTGAAGAAATAAAGGAGCATGATTACGCTATTCCTACAACACTTTCATTAACTAATTTAAGTGAAAATGTCGTGTCTTATATATCAGGATATGTGGTTAAGATATGACCAAAAGACATATAAAATGCCCAACCTGTGTAAGCGAGTTGGAGGATTTTTCTGCAACAGTTAAGAATGATACCTGCCTAAAATTATTAAAAAGAAAAAAAAGAGGTGCTTTAATTTACAGATGTTATAAAAGTTTGTAAAGAAACAAAAATTTATTTTAGGCAAATTTTATCTGCAACTGATGGAAAACTTCCAAATGAAGATAGTTTTTTTTCATAAAATGTCATTGGTAATATATTATATATATATATATATATATATATACTAGGGTGTCCCAAAAAAAAAGAATATTTTTTTTCTTCTCGTCTCTTGTGAAAATATGTTGGTTTGTCATGTTTTAAGAGCCCTGTCAAAAGATCAGCACCATTAAACAAATTTTAGGGGTCGCTCAAGATTTTTAAAAATTACCAAAATCGTCAAAAATTGTTTTTTTTTTAATTTTAATTTTTTTTCTCGTTCCGATATTATTTTTTAATTTAAAAATAATAATGATTCTGAAAATTTCAAATCGATATTTTAATTTCTAAAGGTCGCTCAAGATTTTTTTAACTTTCAAAGTAGAGTATTTTGAATGTTTTCGAGCGACCTCTGAATATAAATATCAACGAACTTTTAGCGACCTTTAGAAATCAAAATATTGATTTGAAATTTACAGAATTTTTATTATTTTCAACCTAAAAAATAATATCGAGACGAGAAAAAGAATTAAAATAAAACAAAAATTCAATTTTTGTCGATTTTTTAAATTTTTAAAAATCTTGAGCGATCCCTACAAAATTTTTAATCGAGCTGATATTTTGAAAGGGCTCTTACAGCATGATAAACTAACATATTTTTACAAGAGACAAGAAAAAAAATTCTTTTTTTTTGGGACACCCTAATATATACCCAAAACTAGTTCTTAATGGTATTTTTAAAAACCTAATTAATCATTTGGCAGACAATAGTATTATGGAAAATCATATTATAATTTTAGTAAAAACTATTTTTTTCTGTTAGATGAAAATAAGAATTTTTAATCTATGTAAAGATCAAACCAAGGCTATGCGACCAAATTTAATTAGAAAAACACTTTCTAAATTAATATTATTTTTATCGGCTGAAGGACTACGGTCAATAGCCTTTGAACTTAGTTTTAGTTCAAGCATTATTATTATTATTATTTTCAAATCAATAAAATATTTAAACGTTGGTATTTTTCTTTATTGTACACATTCCCAATTTTATTTAGGTAAATTTTGAATACGTAAGATAAATAGATATTTATTTATTTCTGACCCCAAAACAGTATAGCCATGATAACAGGGCCTACAAAAGTTTTACAATGTAATACAGTTATGTTATGTAAGTTAACTTACAAAAATTTGTAAGTATAAAAATATGTTTTTTATATACCCGGACAACAATCGGGATTTCCTGGTGAAGTCTTGATGATATCACAACGTGATTTTTTTTATCACGCTGTGATATCCTGAGTGCATACACATGCATCATCACAGTGATATCATGTTTGCGCATGCGTATGAGCCCTGCGAACTACGAATTTAAAACCTACCCGGACAACTTTCGTGATATTCATACGAACATCATGTCGTGATTTTCACAAATTTTATCCATAGTGATATCATACGGAAGTCACCGCGTAATAAATGAAAATCATACGAACGTCACGTCGTGATTTTCACAAATTTTGTTCATCCGGATGTCACTGCATGCGTGAGAAATGAAAATCATGTCGTTATTTTTTATGCCATCGCTGTTTGCGATTGACCGATGGCACAAAAAATCATGTCGTGATTTTTTTTGCCAACGGTGTTTGGATAATTATTTTTGCGCCACGTTCGTACACTAAGAGAAAAATTATGTTGAATCAACAGTTTTTGCGGTTAAATACATTTAATATATTCTTGGATTTAAATTAACTATATACCTATAATTAATTTAAATCCAAGAAAATATTGAATGTTAAACTGTTAACATACTTTTTCTTTCAATGTACGAATTTGTCGCTAAAATGAATATCCAAACACCGATGACATAAAAAATCATGTCATGATTTTTTATGACCAAACACTGATGTGTTTGAATTTTTATTTTTGCGCCACATTCGTACATTGAGAGAAAAAGTATACCTACATACTAACTATGTTAAATGTACTAAATTTGTTACCAGTTTGTGATAGAATATTGTTTAATACTTTAATGTTTATATATAAAATGAAAAACAATATTAAACTTTATTATTATTATTACCTCAGTATTTGTGCCAAAATCTGTCATTGGTTTATGTAGAAGTAGTAATAATTTCAATATAGGTATTTGTAGAACAACTCAGATAAAAAACACTGTATTTTATAAAGGATTGGTACAATTTAATTTACTACCAGCTAAAATAAAAGAAAGCTTTAATATTAAACATTTTAAGACAAATTTACTTGAGCACTTCCGTAGAATCTATGATTAGATATACATATATATATATATATATAAATTATTTATATTTTTATTGTTATACTGTACATATCTTGTGGACATGTTATATTTATATTGTTATGTTATTTTTTGTATAGGTATGAGATAGCTTTCTGGCTAAATAAAGATTATTATTATTATTATATACAGGGTGTCCCATAATTAGCATGCAATACTTTAACAGCAGATTCTACGTATAAAAATAAGAAAAAAAGTTCCTATAAAAATAGGTCGAGAAATAATTTCCAAGGGAGCTACAGCCCCCGAAAGGGGAGCCCCTGAAGATGGTTTTTATTTAATATCTCCAAAACTGTTTAAGAAAGAAAAGTGATATTTTGGGATATAATCAAACTTTTTATAGTCAATAAGTTGGAATAATAACAAATTCAAAAAATAATAAGGGGTGAGTCAGATAGAAAGGGAGTGGGGGTAAAACTACCCTAACTTTTTTGTACGTATCTTAATAATAATAATAATAATAATAATAATCATTTATTAATCCAACGGACAAAACGTCCATACAAAGGATGTAACTAATTAAAGCTAAATAAATACAGCCTAAAAAGGTACATTTTAAGGTAAGGCTCTTATTATTCTAATAAATTGATTTAAAGTTAGGTTGAAAATATCACAATTCTCTTTAATTAGATTGTAACTCCGACACATTGAAATTAGAGGGGAATTCCTTCTTTCATTATTATTCGCAGCTTCCACATGAAAAGTTTGGCAATATCTAGAATTTAGTCTTGGGACATGAAATTTTATTTTTAAGAGAATATCGGTGTCAAAAATAGTACCATGGACAATTTTATATAGATAAATTAAGCCTGCATTTCTTCTACGTATTTCCAAACTTTCCATGCCAAAGGATTTTAAAGCACTAACATAGTCAAAGTTAAAAACGGGGTAGTATC